TGAAAGATTAAGTTTCATATATTACTAGTACATTATGTAGCCACGGTAATTCTTAATTGGGTCTTCATTATATAAATAAGTATTATGACAAAAGCAGAGGTCAATAATATTATGCAACCAAGTTCATTATTAGATGTGATAATTATGGTATGATTATACTGGTATATAACTTGACCTGGGTCAATACATGATGTGTCTGAGGTCATTATATGTAGCAAGATTAATATATGACATAAATAATGCAACGTGTGTGGAATAAATGATAAAATTATTATTCTGGTGGGAAATACAATAAAGTAGAAAAGAGATAATTACCGGTATTGTTTTATGGGATGAATAAACTAATAATGTTAATGATGTCTTGAATATTAGTTTGAATTTAGACAATAACTATGTCATGATCTGTACCTGCTGTTGTTTTTGAAATATTCATCATTAGTATGACCTATTATCATTAGTTCTTAATTCAATTAGAGTCAAACTTAAAATCCTAAAGTCCTGACCACAACAAATCAATGTAATACCTGTTTATGGGTACCCTAATTTTTTCTTCAGAATATGAAATGGCCATTCACAAAGAAGAAATTAGCAAACATCAAACAAATTGTCAATCCAAAGTGTGCTAGCCGTGAACATTGATTATTTGAGCTTGTAACCGTCTACAATACAATGAAATCCGCTGAACTATGAAGTGTAATCTGTGCAATTGGAAGGTCAAGTGGTCAAATGATAACTTCAAGTGCTTCTTTGTGTTGCTTTGTGTTTAATAAACAAAATATCTAAACAGAAGATTAGATTCTATAAGTACCGTGATTTTTTTTAAAAACTGTGTTCTACTGTAACCCTTATAATTTTCATCTTATAAATAAAAGCTGCATAATTGTTTCCAAAATAACCAATCTAATTTGGTAGAAATTTATAACATAAAAATCATAAAATGTGCAAAATGTTGCCAAATAACGTTGGTTGGAAAATATAACAGTTCACCTAAGGGATCTGGAATGGCCAGAAATTGTCAGTCTGTAAAAGAATAGCCAAAAATT